AACTTGCCGACCGTTGTTTTTTAGAGGCCCAGCCGACATGGTCCTCATTGTCATGTGCATAAACACGTGAAACTTGGGGGTGGGCGTCACACGTGCAAGTTCAGCATTCATGATGAAACGGTCGGCGCTCTCAATCAATAGTTGGTGTTGCTCTTCTGACAAGCACGTTGGCGACGTCCTGCACGTTGCCATCCATGCCAGAAGGGCTTCTCCGGCTTGCAACAAGAAAGCATGCGTTGCCTCATCTGTTTGGTGAACACGCATTCTGTCGACTGTAAAATGTAATATGGACAGAGTTTCGCTAGCTTTGAGCTTGAGCACCCCACCACCGAAAACTGAGTTTCCTTGCATACCACCCAACATTTTCCTAGTACATTTGCCCTCTCGTAATAGGTGAATAATTCTGCTTCTAACCGTTTGATTCTGACATCCCAGTTCGGTACCCTCCATGGGTTTTTTGCCAAGCTGCGTTGTAGTGCGGCTGAGCAATATCGCATCATGGGCCCAAAATAGTATGTGTGCAAGGAATCTATAGCTAGAGTTCGCGCGGGTGATGTACCAAGCTGTTCGTCAAACAGAGGGGATCGGTGGTTGTATGGGTCAATGACCCGTCCAAATAAATCAGCGTTTGCCCTCCAGAACGTAGCCCAGAACGGAGTTGTTGTCCGATCGAATCGTGCGGGTACTAAGAGGTCGTCTGAAGGTTCCAATCTATCCCCAGCCCGCAAAACCCACATGTTATCGGGGTGGACGAAATCACTTGAAAGTGTTCGTCCTTTCTTCTTGCCGTCGTCGACCAGTAGGGTAGCAACACGATCTCTGATTTCGTTGGTTTGAATCTGGATTATATGTTCGTTTCGAGTACATGCAGCGTCGAAATCTTCATGTCTTCGCTCGGGGTAAGCACCGCCTGACCACGCGAGACTATCAGGAGCAGACATGACATCGCGTGGTACCTTACAGAATGGGCAGGGGCTGTAAACTGCGTTCCATGGTGGTAACCCCATCGAGTGGTGATGTTCGCTCCAATCCCCTTTGATATATAATACCATTGCTTTGAATTGCAACTCTCGGTCTGCATCGTCTGCATTCATACCACTTAGAGGTTTACCGTCATGTCCCCTGTCTGGTAACACACCTGAGCACAACGCGCGAAGTTGCCATTGAACTACTTTGAGAAGAGAATGAGTTGAACAATACCCTCCACACCCACATGCACATAATTGATCTTTCCGCATCAAGCCTACCAAATGCCGCGCGTCTGACAATAAGTTTACCACCGAGACCCCAATCAGATTACACGCTTGCCCAAGCAGTTCGGGCGTACCGCGCGTAATGCCATACCTCCCAAAATCGGGTTTGATGCGCGCAACGCGCGTGCACATATGCGTACAAGCAGCGTGCCATGCGCGCGCTCCCTATCTGGTTATACACATGTTGGGGCGTCGGATGTAACGACAGTGGTTAACTTGTTGCGACCATCGGCCTGCCCTGCGTAGCGAAACCCGTCCATATACACGGCTAATGGTAAAGGATATTGTTCATCGTGATCCCTCGCTCGCAGCACGTGTGGGTGATCACGATATGCTGGGACGCTCATGACACTGTTCGGAAGATCATGTTCTCCATCCCTGAGGGCTTCCTGGATGTACTCGCTATTCTTCACTTCCGAAGCAATAGTGCGATATATTTTCCTAAATGGGATGCAAACTGTTTGTTGGTTATTGTCTTTCCGATTTGTACCTGGGATGTCAGCGTAGTAGAAAGGTCCACATTCAGGAAGTCTAGAACCCAAGAACTTTTTGTAATTCCCCGAGGACGCCCCAGGCTTCATGGCATAGGCTGCCCAGGACCCTCCAGGAACTTCGCACACATCAAAACAATGGCATAAAACAGTGAAGTCCTGCGCACTCATGCGCTTGCACGACGCGTACAGTCCTAACAGAATGTCGAACGCACGTGCTCCAGCATCGCGCTTCTCTTGCCCCCTCGCGTCACGGACGAATACGGTATGTGTTCTCCCCCTCTTTACGTGGGAAGTGGACATCCTGACACTCGAGCTGGCATGGCTACACAGATGGAACGTCGCCGCCGTGCTGTGCTCACTTGTCGCAGCCAACCTGCCTGTCACGGAATCACTGTCGCCGTCATCTTTGGTTTGTTGTCGCTGTCGTCGTCGTCGCTGTTCATGTCGCTTCCACCGCCATCGTCGATGCACCCGCAGCTGCCAGAGACCGTTCACAACTTATCTGGCCGAACGCACGCTAGCATCGCCGATGCATGACTCACCGTCGACGTCGCCGATGCATCGCCGACGATCCCAGGGAACCATATCGACATCATCACGCGTGTCGGGATGTCAACCCCGATCATATAAAACATAAGTTGTCTCGGGACACCGCCCAATGTTTTTCATCGAAAGGAAAGCCACAGCAACTCCACTAGTCAAAATGCATGCACCGTCGCTCGAATGCAAGACTGATCAAGCATTATGACGCCTGCAACCACACCTGATATATAATACACAAACGCTGGGGGTGGCACAAGCACGCGCAACCTAGCAGCAGCTCGGACGCAATGGAACCGCACGATCATCACATATGCTTCAACCCATTTCCCCTCTCAGTCCCTCGCTTTCCCTTGCGAGCTGCGTGCCGAATGAAACCGTGGCTGCGAGAAGAAAGTCGGCGCGCCTGCCTGCCCCTGCGATGCTTGCCAATGCCGCACAATTAAGCGAAACATAAGGACAGCGCAGCTGATCTGCTTCAAACGACCACGGCTCCACGCGTTGCCCACTCCTGTGAGTGATGCGAACTCCCGTCGCCGAGCGTGGCCAGCAGTGCAGAGCTAAATATGATGGCTCGAATGACACTCGGATCGATCACCATGCGACTGTTTTCTTCTGGGCCCCAGAAAACCAGGACGTCGCGATTTCGAACAAGTTGTTTGGAAATCCGAACAGCACCACGTGGTTTAGAAGTAAATGCTCACCATTTTGGTTTTTTGTGCAATGTGCGTGCTTGCGCTGACAGTTTTGAGCGAGTGCGCGGTATCAAAGTTCATTCGGAGTTTATTCGGAGTTTATTCGGAGTTTATTCGGAGTTTATTCGTGTGTTTTTTTGTGTATATATATATATATATATGGTTTCATAAGGTTTATTCGCAGTTTATTCGCAGTTTATTCGGTGCTTATTCGCTGTGTGGTTCACTTGGATTTCCAAAAAACTCGCCGAAATCACCGGTTACACATCAGTTGTGCCGGGCACACCGTTGCAAAACATTAACACAGAGTCGAACGAGCATAATTTTGTCCGATCGGTCAACTGATTTCGATCAGATGTCTCCGAGTGTCAAGTTGCTCACTGCCTGGACTTGGTATACCTGGCCTGGTTCATGGCTTTCAAGCTCTTGCACTCCTCCAGGAGACCACCACATGGCTCGTGCAGAACCTCATAGGCCTTCTTAAGGTGGCGCTTGAACGTCTCGTCACCAACCTCTGAACAACACTTAAATGCGAAGATCGGGAGGCAGGGGGGGGGGGAGATATGCTCACATTCAGCGAATGCGATCTATGTCGTAGATCGCGATCCATGAATCCGAACATCTCACCCCCCCCCTCCGCCATCCTCACCCATGGCCTCCTCTGCTCTATCTTCCCACCCGCCGCCCTTCTCCCCCCCACCTCTATTATCATTCCTCCTCCGATTCTGGCAGGGGGTGGCTGCAAGTTGCGGGGCCTCCTTCTTGTAGACAGGCAGCTCGTCCTCAGACATCAGCTTGAACAGGAATTTGTGCTCAGCCACGATAGCATTCACCTGCGCAGCGAATGGGGCGAACAATACTGCAAACGCACACATACATCAGTCACAACACTGGGTCAACATAGCACGTTACAGGATATGTCGGGCAAACTGTATATAAACGCAACAGGGCGCTTGGACCCAGACCAGAGCTAAGTGCAAACGAACAAGACGAGCGAAGCATGATAAGTGCGGGTGCACAACCATAGACCGAGATCACCGACATACCAATCACATTTCTTTAATGATGAGGAACGGGAAGGGCGAAGGATGAGGATCGAGGAAGATAAGGGATGAACACCACCCCCAGCTTCAATCCCAGTTTGTCTCCTCCTCCTCCTTTTCATCCTCATCCGCATCCTCCTACTCCTCCTACTCCTCCTCCTCGCCAGCCCCCCATGCTCAAGCTCCGCGCCTTGTCGTAGGCAGCCTGGAAATCTTTCAGGACGTCTGGGCTGTTCTTGGCCCACTTCCAGGTCTGGATGAGCTGCGCGGTAGACGTGTGCTGCAAGATCGCGCTGTCGTACAGCACTTTGACCTTCTTGAAATTCTTCACGTACTCGGGTGTAATCGTCGTCCTCTTCTTGTCATCTTCAGACTGGGCCTGATCCTTATCCTTTTTCGTATCCTTCACTTTTTTCGTATCCTTAGCTTTTTTCTCATCCTCAGTCTTTTTCTTCGCACCCTCAGTCTTTTTCTTATCCTCCGTCTTTTTCTTATCCCCAATATTTTTCTTATCCTCAGTCTTTTTCTTATCCTCCGTCTTTTCTTATCCTCAATTTTTTTCTTGTCCTCAGCCTTTTTCGCATCCACTGTCTTCTTGCGATTCTTACGTGTCTGCCTCTCCTTCTGCTTGCTCGTGCCTTTAGCCTCCTCAGCCGCGTCATCTTCATTGCGCTTCGAGCCGATGCGGGTCCTCTTCTTAGGCGGCATCTCGTCCTCTGAATCTGTCGGTCTTTTCTTCTTCTCTTTCCTTGTCTTTTCCTCGTCCTCTTCCTCGTCCTCCTCTTCCTCGTCCTCCTCACTGTCTTCTTCCTCCGCCTCTTCCTGGTCATCGCTGGATGACGCATCGCTCGAACTGGCATTGCCCTCATCGTCTGCATCGGGAAGAGCCTTGCTCCTTTTCTTGTCTTTGATGGCACCGCCACCGCGGTCGGCGTCGTCGTCGCCTCCTGGCCTGCGCGTGCTCCATGATTCTAATTATTCCCATGCTTCCTTGAACGTCTCAGACATGCGATGCGTGAAATACAGGAATTTGATGCTTTCGGTCATATCGTCCCATTTGGCCCACATCCCTCCAAGTATGATCGCGTTCGTGCAATATTTGAACGCCAGCTGCATCCCGTGGAGCCCTCCTCCTTCCTTCTTCGCGATCCTGCCGATGCTGCAGTACTCACCGTCCTTCATCTGCGCCTTTGTGAGCGTCGTCGAATGGGTCCTGGTCCACTTGCACTTCCAGTCCCTGTGCATCCGCTTGGCCCACCTCGCTCTGAACTTCTGGGAGTCATGGTAGCCATGGCACTTGGCGCACTTGCGCCGAAGTTTCTCGCTTGCCTTCAAAGCGCGCTGCCAGCGGCTTCCTGCAGGGTTCCCAGCCCCCGTGGATGTGTTGAAATAGTAGTTGTTTTTCTGCAGTTCCTCCCACAACTCCTTGTCGCGCTGCGCGTCCTCTGGCAGCTCGTCCTCAGCCTCGATCTCCTTTGCCTCATCTGGTGATGTCTTTCGTAGCTCGTGCAACCTTCCCACCAGCCCGCCGTTGAAGAACTGCGTCAATACCTGGTCCATCCTCTCACAGGACGGGTCCTCCCCGCTGCGCATGATGTTGTGGTTGGACAGCTCAGCGATTTCAGCCTTCAGTTCCCCGAGCAGCTTCTGCCTGTCTTGAACGAACTCTTGATCAGGGACTGGTCGCACGTCGATCCCATTTTGTTTGAAGAACGTAGACTGGCTCCCGTCTCTCGGCCACAGAGATGGTCCGTCACCTCCGAACATCTGCTGGGCGTACTCGGGTTCAGACGGTATATCATGGTCCTGGAAGTGACGCAACAACCATCTCCCTCCCTCCATCTCTCCATCCCTCCCTCCCTCATTCCCTCCATCCTCTCCCTCTTGCTGCTGTTGCTGCTGCTCTTCATCCGCCTCTTCAGAGGGGGCGAGGGGCGAGGAATGGTTTGTGGGGCGTCGACGACGGCCCTTCACGGACGTTCCAGCTGCCGTCGTCGAGGGAGTGTTCGGCGTGATTGTGCCACCGACAAGATCCTATAGGAGTTGCGCGATTGTAAAAGCAGTGCCACATAAGAAAATGATGAGGTTGTCAAGACGGACGGAGGTCGAGAAGATCGGAGGGGAGGGGATGGCGATGTTTCTAGTGGGGGGGAGGACGCACTAGCGGGGGGAAAGACAGCGAGAGAGAGGACGAGAGAACGACCGATAAACCAATGCAATCCTTGTCGAGCTTGCTGCCCGTCGGCGCGCCGTCCTTGCTGGCCTTGTCGGCCTCGGCGTCCGCCTCGGCAGTTGTGTTCTCGATCTGGTTGATCCCCTCTGTGCCCTCAATCTCCTCAAGCTTTCGGCCCTCGCCCTTCTCTGTTGCGTCCTCGGGCGTTGCTGCCGCCTCAGCGCCAGCGTCTCCTCTCCTCTGGTTTCGCTTCTTTTTCTTCGGTGGTTCATCCTCTGCAGCGTCTCCTGTTGGCGGGGCCTCGCCTTTACCTTTGGCCGCGCGCCTAGTCTTCTTCGTATTCCTCTTCTTCCTCTTCTTAGTTCCGCCCTCCTCTGCCGCCAGCTTCGAATCCTCGGGCGTCTCATCAACTCTGGTTCCTTCACCCTCCACGTCCTGATCACGGGTGTTCTCTTCAACGTGGTCTCCTGTCTTCTCGAATGGCTCAGCTCCCTCACCCTCTGCTGCGCCTTCTCCCTGGACCTGTTCCTTCTTCTCTTCCTTGGCTGCGTCGTCCTCATCTTTCGTTGCCGTCTTTCCATCCTCGCTGCTTATGTCCTCTGGCTGTGTTGGCTTTGCCTTGTCGCCATCATCCCTCCTCATCGCATCAGTCTCTGTATTTCCTGACTTTGCCTCCTCGTCTCCTGACGTTGCCTCCTCGCCATCATCTCCAGCACCATCGTTGGGGAGCGAGTCCTCCACCTCGATGGCGCAGTCCTTGCGGCGCGATGCACGCTGACGACGAACGCACGCGAGACGCACGACTGCGAATGCAACTCGACAGGGGGTGCGTTCTCGGCTAAAGTGCGCCCATCATTCCTGTTACTCCTCCTCATGCCCTCCTCCGCCTGATGCGCTTCATCACCTGTCACCGCCTCTTCCTCCTAATCCTCCTCATCTTGTCGAACGCACTACATGTCCTGTGCCCCGAGCGCGCGTTCCTGTTCTTGTAGCATATCTGCCATTGCATGATCTCCCTCTTCCTGGTGCCTCTGCCGTTCGATTGCTCTCTCCGCTTCGAACTGGCCTACTACGATGCGTTGGTACTCGGCGTTGCGAACCTCATCGTTTGAACCCGATGCGCCAGAAAGTTCGACCTCCATCGCGGCGTCCTGCAGCGGAGGGCAACGATGTGATTTCATTGTGGGGCGATCGAGGCTGGAACACTTGGCGAGGGAGACGATCGGAGAAAACCAAATGAGAATGGCTATGAAGGGGTTCGCCAGAACGCAAAGTGTCCTGGGCTCTCTCGTAGACCTGCTTCCTACGCAGAAACGTTCTGATGTCTACAAACTTGATGGCCTCTAGTCTGTCCTTGGGCATAGTGGCTACGGTTCCTGAAGTGGGCAAGCGGCGCAATTGGTCGACTGGCAGAGCTTCCAGATCACGTCGTAAAGCGCGATGGGGGATCCGAAAGATGGCGCACTGATGCGGGACAAACCGAACGACACACATGTATAAAGACACACGTATGTGATAATATGGTCAGTGACGCGCGTGCGTTACCATTGTCACGAAATGTCTGAGGTTCACTGGTTCACCCACGGCATGTTGATATGTTCAATTAGGTTGCTCTTCGTTCGTATTTCGAACACAGCTGCGCATGTAGGGTCTATCGGGGGTGCAACTATGTTTTCTCCAGGACCCAGGGCCCAGAGGTAACCCACAGACGCCGATCCAGCTAACACCTCACACGGTTGCGTTGTTTTTTTGCACGACGCGCGCGGCGAATTGCAGCACTGTCTAGCACAGCATCGTTGCCGACGCGCGTGCTCATCACGCGCCGTGGCTGCATAACGAGAGCGGCCACGCTAACTGTTCCGCCAGCCTCACGACGAAGCACGTCTCAGACAAACCTAACACGCAGCAGAAGCATGCAACAATGACGCTGACCGCGGCATAGCAAAGACGCTGAGCTCGCCGACGTAGTTGCACGCGGAATAGACTTCAAGGCGCCTTGTCGAACCAATATTGTGATTGTAAAGCGTGGGAACGCAACTAGTGAGACGACAACGTTGACATCAGTGAACATGGCATCCAAATCGACACATTACGCGCACGGGTTGGCAACATGGGAAATGCGGAGAGGGGGGATGTTGAAGGCTGTGGCAAAGCAACACAGAGTAAGCTACAGGTGCGCCTCGCTCACACCATGCACTTGCCGAACTCATCGATGACGTCATCGCTGGAGTCTGTTGGAGGTCTGAACTTCTTTCTAGGGGGGCTGGTGTCGGCCTTTGGCTTCTTTGCTTTCTCCTCGGCCTTTGCGTTCTCCTCTGCCTCTGCTTTCTCCTCTGCCTCTGCTTTCTCCTCTGCCTCTGCTTTCTCCTCTGCCTCTGCTTTCTCCTCTGCCTCTGCTTTCTCATCTGCCTCTGCTTTCTCTTCGTCCTTTGATCCATCCCCATCTGCTTCAGAATGCTCAACCTCTGCCGGCCCTTCAGCGCCTGCGTTCTCCTCATCGGCCTTCTCCTTCTCATGCTTCTTCCTGTTCGCGGCCTTCAAGAGCTTCTTCTTCAATATTGTTTTTTTGTCAGTTGTTGCTTGGTGTGGCTCCGTCTTCCTCGTCTTTTTCTTCTCCTTCCTCTTTTGGTTATGCTCGTTCTCGCTTTCTTCTTTGCTCTCCTGAACGACGGCTGCACATTTAGCTTTCTTTTTTGCCTTTGCTCCTGCGCTGGCTTTTGAACTCTTCTTAGGCGCCTTGCTATTCACATCTGGTCCGTGCTCGCACTCATCCTGGATCTTCTCTTCCTCCTCCTCCTCCTCCTCCTCCTCCTCTGCCTCATCCTCGCGCTCTTTTCCATCCTCCTCGCTGCCATCGCCTGCCTCCTGCTCAGCGTCCTCAGCCTCGTCATCCTTCTGCGCATCCTTCGGGCCTGCTTTCTTTCGCTTCATCGGTGCCGCCACCGTCTTCGCTTTGGCTGATGCTGGCCTTTTAAGCACTGCTCCAGAGTGTGCTCGTATGAACTCCTGCTTGTCGACTTCTATGGCGTCCTTCGTCTTAGTGTGGCTTGCAAAGGCTTTGGCGCATTTGACGATGAACTTGTCTGCCTCCTCTCCGTACCCTTTCTTGCAGACCAACTGCAGCCGCATTGTTTTCGAACCTTCTTTTGGATGCTCGAACACTGCCAGATGCTTAACCCTCTCATCTTTGATCGTGCGGTGGAACGTCTCTACAACCCAGCGGCTGTCGTTCTCGTCGCATCCACTCCAGAGGGCCTCCTTTGACTTTTTCTCCTGCAGCATCGCCTTCCAAACAGCGTGCGTGAGCCCAGCGATCTTCCATGTGTGACCATCCTCCCATACTGCCTCGAGCTCCTCGTGATCTGCTGCTCCTGGTCGTGCTGCTGGCGTCTTCGAATAATCAGGTGGCCCTTTCTTCCTGACATTGTATCTCGCGACCGCCTGCCCACCATCATGAATTCACACAAAAACGAATGCAGCGCACAAGAGAGCATTTCAAGAGGAGCGAGGTGGGGGACACGGCCCCAGAGCAGATGCGGCCTCTAAACGAGGGCAACGGCAAGGAGGTACGAAGAAGTCGGGATGTGGAAATCGCATGATACCACACCTCCGTTCACGTCATCGCTACAATCCTCCGCTTCCTAGCACGCCTCGCTCCCCCTCGATCACCATTCATGCATCTAGAAGCACACCCCGCCCCCCCGACCATCATGGTTCTGTTGAACTCGTACTTATAGATGCCATCCTGGCGCTGGCTACACGATACACTCCTCACCTTCCTCCTCCCACCCTCTACTCTTCATGCCCTCCTCTCCTCAGTCCGAAGCTATCGATCCTGAGCCCAAGTCGGCCCCTCGAACCGTGACGTTACGAGATCGCGACCCCTCCCCCACCACCTCCATGTGACGAGAATGGCGCCAGTCTCGCACGACTCACCCCTCCCATGCGTTCCTTCCCTATCGCACATCATCCATATTATATCGTCACTCCTGCCACCCGCACCCACGTGGGAGATCATTACAGGGTCGTCCGAATAAACTCCGAATAAACTCCGAATAAACTCAGAATAAACTCAGAATAAACGCAGGAATCACGAAGGAAACATGCAGAATGCAAAAGGCAATCCCTAAACCGCTTTCGAAACAGATTTATAAAGCAGACCGAGCCCGTCCCTCCATCATCCTTGTCGTGAAGCTCGAGGTCCAGGTGCCAAAAGGTCTGCAACCGCGCTGGGATCTTCTGCTGGCTCCTTCGGGGAAGGCATTAGAGAGACTCTGGAAGAATTCGCCAGGGGTGCCCAATGCGATTAACATCATCGTGCGGATCAACGGTTGCACGATGACCTTCACCGCGTTCGATGCCCCGTTCCCCAACATAAGTTGGGAAACGGGGCATCGAACGTGGCTTCATTCCTTCCCTCGAATCCTGCATTTGATGAAAGCTTGTGCGACGTGCCTCAGCATCGATCGGATCCGCCTGCGCCGATATAGGCATATCGGCGGCAGCGGGGGACGATCGACGGCATTTTCTTTCGTGTCGTTGCAATTCCGAAACCAATGCAGCAATCTGACAAACGGCGGATATAACGCGCAAGCGTCATTGATCATTTTAGAATGTTGCATCGCCCACGACT